GGTTTTTTTTTTTTTTTTTTTTTTTTTTTTTTTTTTGGTACTGCCACCCATGGAGCATGAAAAAACGGCTTTTGAAGGCCATGGATACATCTCAACCATTGTATTAAAAGTAAGATTTAACTGGAGTGAGAATAAATATAAAGTGGCAGCAAATTATCCTTTCTTTGATGTGATCCTTCCACAGAATTGCTGTCAAGGGCAGGATGATATTCTGGCCCCAGAAAAAAAAGGGGGAATCCTTTGTGTGACATATGGATCCTACTGTGCAAAACAAGTTCTCTTGACTTGTTCTGGTCCAGTCCCAAAGGACATTTATGGGAGAACAATAGGAAATGATTGCAACTGAGTCATCAAAGAGTAAATAAGAGACAACTAACACAGGGCCTCCTCTGAGTATCTATCCTCTCTTTATCCCGGGAAGAGGCAGTCAGGAATTTCAGGGTTTGGCCCCTGGTCAAAGACCTTTCTACCTTAACAACTGTTGTGGTTTGGATTTAGAATGTTGCTCTGCAGCTTAATGCACTCAGAGGTGGGGCTTGTGGAATATGAGTGAATGACAGGGGCCTGCAACTGACTTGCTGTTAGGAGGTGGGGCCCATTCAGAGCCAGGTCATTGGGGGGGTGACTTGACAAGGAGTGTCTCCCTCCCTGATTCCTCCCTTCTGTCTCTGTTTCTGGCCATGATAATATGAGCATCTTTTTTATGCCAGACCCTTCCAACACACTGAACATGGGTTGTAACTAATATACTGTAAGAAACTGATGCATATGAAATTGTTTATGCTTTTCAATTTGGAGAGAACCAGGGACACCTATCAAATGTCTTGAAGAATTCTTAGAGTCTATTTGAAGGCCAAGTACTGTCTTGTAAGTTGTCGTTCACACACATGGCACAGTGCACCAGCTGGCCATCAGCCACAGCACTATACCGTCCACATGTGGGGATTGATGAAAACAATGATTGTCATCCACAAATAAACGAGCTTCCAGTAAGGATGATAAGGAGAATCTGAGTCCCGGATTCAGTCCAGTAGGAAAAGCTTAGATTAATGCAGGAGAATAATGAGCCATGCAAGGGGAAATAAAGGCAGGAGTCTTACCGGGAAGCTATTAATCATCGGTTTCCACGGGCCAGGTACTATATCCCACTG